CCCATTTCTCTTACTATCCACCCCATAATAAAACAGCTTGAATCCTGCTCCTATACTACGAGCCTTGCTACCCTTCCACCTGGTCTCCTGTACACACAGTATATCCACCTTCCTTCTCTCCATCATATCAGCCAGCTCTCTACCTTTCCCTGTCATAGTACCAACATTCAGAGTTCCTATTCTCAGTCCTACACTCTTATCTTTCCTTTTCTCTCTCTGTCTACGCACTCTCCTCCCTCCTCTACTTCTTCGACCAACAGTAGCCCAATTTCCACCAGCGCCCTGTAGGTCAATGGCGCCAATGGCGGTCGTTGTTAACCCGGGCCTCAACCGATCCAGTATGAAATTCAGAGTACTGACGATTCGCATGATTAAATTTTGCAATGTTTTACGCCGGATGCCCTTCCTGACGCAACCCTCTCTATTTATCCGGGCTTGGGACCGGCACAGAAGTCACTGTACTGTGACCACCATGGCTAGATTATATAAATTACAAGACTATGATGTTGAAAACATTGAGGGAATAGTTTCTGAATCTGAGTTACAAAAGATTATTATTGGGAGGGACAAGGAATTCAAATTAGAGAAAATCTTGTCTGAAAAGGCCCGAAACTGGAAAAAAGTTTGTCTAGTGAAAAGAGATCGGTGGCCCGATGAGTTTAATTCATGGATTCCGGCTGAAACCGATAATCATTAAACCATGGAAGAGTGTGGGTTCTTTGTGACCCTTCCAAGCAATGCGTTGATGGACATTTACCCTAATAAGATCATTCATTATACTATTAAATTTGGGCGGTGTCACTATCAGATGTTCAATATATCCAGAGTTGGTACTTATAGACAGTAAGAGCATGGCTGTCTATGTCATGTTTCTCTGAGGGATGGAAATAAAGTACAAACCAATTACTTTCAAATTGCTCATGTGTGTAATTGCTCAAGATTCTTTGTTCAATGTAAATACCGTGTATCCTTTGCACACTTAAGCGCAATTTTTTTTCTTTTTTGTTTGCTTAAACTTTAGAATGCACAAACAATCATATATTATGCATGTGTGTTTTACAATTGCTTAGAAAGCAAATGTTGATGTCAGTAAAGTCATTGACTAAGCTGTCACCAACTTCTCTGTACTCAGGGTTGTTTTTCTTCTTTCGGTTGCTCCTCTTAGGTGTTGCCACAGCAGATTATCGGTCCACTTATTTGATTTAGCAACGATTTTAGCCAGATGCCAGGCGTAATCCTCCCCAATTTTATCCGGGCTTTGGACTGGCACTAAGAGAGCACTGTTGCACACAACCCAGGTGCTGAGGTTTGTTCCCTGCCCGGGAATCAAACCCGGTCCACAGTGGTGAGAGCGCTGTGGTCTAACCATTAATCTTCCAGAGTCCCTTGCCAGTTCTCAATAATGCCTGTATTATTGCCTGTATTATACGTTGTGAAAAGCCTGCACGAATATCAGCAGGATTAGGCGCTTCTGGCTCCTGGTGCGTTAACAGACCAACGGGATTCATACTAAGCCTAAATACTAAGTTTCAATTAGCTTTGAATGTATAGGTTTTTTTGGGACGCGATGCATATTTTATTTTTCGTAGGTTTATAGTTGATCTCCATCCAGAAACAGTTCTCCGATACTTTTGTAACACACATGAGCAATTTGAAAGTAATTGGTTTGTACTTTATTTCCATCCCTCAGAGAAACATGAAATAGACAGCCATGCTCTTACTGTCTATAAGTACCAACTCTGGATATATTGAACCTCTGATAGTGACACGTCCCAAATTTAATAGTATAATGAGTGATCTTATTATTGGGGTAAATGTCCATCAACGCATTGCTTGGAAGGGTCACAAAGAACCCACACTCTTCCATGGTTTAATGATTATCGGTTTCAGTTCTGTTCACAACGATACTTTTTAAGCTCTAATGTTATGCAGCCGGAATCCAGGAATTAAACTTATCGGGCCACCCCACCCAATTCACCAGACAAACTTTTTTCCACTTTCGGGCCTTTTCAGACAAGATTTTCTCTAATTTTCTCTAATGCCTTGTCCTTCCCAATAATAATCTTTTGTAACTCAGATTCAGAAACTGTTCCCTCAATGTTTTCAACATCATAGTCTTGTAATTTATATACAAGGGGATCTCTCGGTATCTGTTTAGAAATGGTAAAATCCATAAAGTTTTGCTCATAGCCTTTTTCAAACTGTCTTTTCAACTTGAATTTTTGTTTCCTTATTTTTGATGAAAATAGTCCATAGAGGGTTTTAAATACTCTGAAGGAATTGGATTTGTTGACCTAGACAGGCTTCATTTTGATGCTGGAATGGGTAATTGTGATTGTATGCTTGAACCAAAACCTGTACGAAGTCACTGTAATTCTCATGTTGAATGCTGTTAAAGATCTCCACATCCTGGTCCTGGTCTCCCCATTCTGAACCTTTCACACAAAGCTAGTTTTTGCCCCTTACCTGTAGCAAAGTGAACAATGTTATGCTTTATCATTAAAGTTTGAAAATCACTGTCCGAAATCTCCTTCCTTTGGCCAGATTGAAGGGTTTTTTGGACCCTACCTTCCTTTAGAAAGGAATCAAAAGCTTTAGTTACCTCAGTTCTGGTCTTATTTTCTAACACACATACCCAGGCATATTTGGATAAATTATCTATACACATTACCATAAATTTTGTGTTGTCATTACTCTCTGACAGGTTGCTCATGTCAACTAAATCAGCTTGCCATTGTACATCAATGTTCTTTACAAAAAAACCTTGTTTCTTTTAAACTTTACAGATACTGATTTATGTAGTCTGCACACATCCAGCTCTCCTAACCAGTTTTTTAAATTTCAGAATTATTAACTGTTTTACCTATTTTCTCAACAATAGCTCTTCGCAAACTCTCAACGCTACCATGTGACCCTGGGTCTGATAATATATATTCTTCATCAGTTCTTCATTATATAATATATATTCCTCATCCATCATTGATTCATTTTGAAGTATCAGAACAATAATGATCAAATGCAGGTATAGAGTAAGCATTTAATCTCATAAAACTTATGATGTGAGTAAGGTTTATATTTTTTATGCATTAAATATTCAATCAAATATAAAATTGAAGATTTTACTGACATCAACATTCTCTAAGTAATTGTAAAACACACATATGAATAAAGACTTGACTAGTTTTGTACTCAAAAGGTTCAGCAAACATGAAGTATAAAAGACAAAATAGCATTTACATTGAATAAAGAATCCCAAAATCTCACATATTTTTCTTTAACATTTATAGTTGGTAAACAAGTTCTATATCAACAGTAAGATGATTAATAAAAATACTGTGGTCGATGACTCTCTGGTACCTCAATGTCTTCTCTTGGCTCCCTGCTTTGTTCCCGTGAACAGATAGCTTCATGTATTGCGGTTAGTTGATGCATGTAAGCTCTCAGTTCCATTTGCAACTGCTCCAGAGGTGGTCCATCATAAGGACCCCTCAAATATAGCACAGGCATGGGTCAACCCGTGAGCATTTCATGTGGTGACAGGTTACTAATTCTATTGGTCTGCATGTGATAACTCATCAGAGCAAGAGGTAAAGCATCAACCCAATTCAGCTTTGTATCAGCGCATATCTTATTAAGTTTAGCCTTAAGAGTACCATTCACCCTCTCCGCCATTCCTTGTGACTGAGGATGATAAACACACCCCAAATGCTGTTTTATTCTTAACTGCTGCAACACTGTTTTCACTGTTCTCTGGACAATTGCTGAACCATTGTCAGAACTTATCTGAGATGGTATGCCAAACCTAGGAATCACTTCTCTTGTCAGAAACTTAATCACTGTCCCTGCAGCCTGATCTTTTGAAGGGACAGCTTCTACCCACCTACTGAACCTATCTATTATCCTACATTTCCTACCATGTATACATAATCTATTACCAGATGTTTGAATGGTCTTTCTGGTACTGGTATGTGCCCTATTGGTGGTGATTTTCCATTCCTGACATTATTCTGTGCACAGACTTCATATTCAGATAAGAAATTATCTACCATAGCTTGTAGATATGGAGACCAATAACCCTGTTGTTTTATTTTCCATAGTACTTCTCTACTTCCACAGTGGTCGAAGCCATGAGCATCTGAAATTAATACGGTGAGAAGTGCCGTGGGTGCAATTATAAGTCCTTGATTTGAGCACCATATACCATTTACATCTCTAGTAGCTCCTCTCTGATGGCACACTGAATGCTTATAAGCATTTGCCTGTACCTAAATGCGAACAATATCATCCAAATTGGGCTCAGGCTGAATGAGTACCACTGGGACCATTACTGCTACCTGGCACACTGAAGCTTTCTAGCTTCTACGTCTGCAGCATCGTTGTCTTTGATAGCAAAATCATTTCCTTTCTTATGTGCCTGGCATTTGATATAAGTACGATATATACACTATGCAGTGGGTATTGTTGCTTTCTAGGTAACTGAGCACCTGATTTAATTTTAATTCTGACTGGGCTAGCAGACTTCACTAGACCTGCATCACTATCATGTTGGGACCACAAGTTAGCTGGTACCTGTTTTTCCATTTCTCTTAACAATTCAGCTGTCTTGGACTCTGAGTTGACTGCCTCGCTCATGTACATCTGTGCTTTTTCAGTGATCACCACCACCTGTGGAATTCCTGTCATGAGAGTAATACACAAAATCTTAATATATGACTTATCTTTTGAAAGAAAAACTAAGGGATTTTCTGTATCATTCCATTTCCTTCTTTCTGCTTTGGCGATCATGGGACCTAAATCTTTTGATTCCCAGCCTTTTCCCACATAAAGAGTGACATGGGGAGCAGAATTAGGGACCTGAAACCACTTGTCAATAAAATCATCATTAATACAATCATCACAAGGATCTCTTTGCATAGCAGCTCCCTGTTTCCCTATGATTATGCATCTAGACACCAAGGGAACTTTTTGACCCTCTGTTTCTTTTAACCACCTTTTTTCAAGCTCTGGGTCACGTGATGAATCATATAACATTGTACAATGATACTCAGACTTAGGCATTATTGCACCTGGGATCTGCACTTCAATAAATTTTCCCCACTTACCCATTACTAGCTTTCTTCATTACTTACCTGTCCTAACCAATACACATTAGATTTTGGCTCAGAAAGCACCATTTGAGTTTTTACCCCTGTTACATCTACATAAACTCCTTCTGGAGAAGACCAGATTTGGAGTCCAAGTTTATCCAATGCATCTCATCCCAACAAATTAAAAGGAGTTTGTTCTGACACTAAAATACCCAATGTCACTTTTTTTTATCTTTAGTCTGCAGATTTACTGGAGCTGTCATTGGAATTAGCTACATTTGTCCCGAGAATCCTACTGTCTTTGCAAATTTTCCAGACATGGGGAGGTGAGAGGCATAATTTGGACTTACACAAGTGTAAGAGGCTCCAGTGTCTACCATCATGGGTGTTAGTTTTCCCTCTATTTTAACCTGCAGCATAGGTTCTTGATCAGCATCAGTTGTTAGAATTGGAAGCTGACCCTCCCCAGTAGGATTCTCTGGGTACCCATAGTACCCCAATTAGGCCCACCCCATGGGTTCACTGGACCTTGTGGAGATTGTCGATAGGACTGGACCCAACCACCCCCTTCACCACCAGGTTGCTGTTGCCATGGATTGGTGGGGCAATCACACCTGTTATGTCCAGGTTGTCCACATCCCCAACATATTCCTCCTCTTCCACTTCCCCTTGGTAGTGGCCTTCTTTGCCAGTTCATGTCATTTGGCTGCTGATAGACATTAATAATTGGTGTTGCAGGCTGTTGAGGAACTACGAGAGCAGCTGGCACAGCTGCCGCAGCTGGCATACTTCTTTATCTTTGTCTTTGTCTTTCACAGGCGCTTGGACCTTTTTCTTATTTTTGTCTGTCAGCTCTTCAAGCCGCAGTTATGCCAGTTTTCTTTGTAGTTCTCTTTCTTGATTCTTAAGCTTTTGTTCATTACTTCTGTATTGTTCAACCGCATGAGTCACATGGTCACAGAATTCCTTGTGTGGTTTAAAATGTAGGCCAACCACATCTTCTAGCTTAGCTTTTACAAATGGTGGCATAGCATCCATTATTGCTGTTCTGAACAATGATGACATCACAGGGTCTGCCTCTGGATCCCTTTCCAGTTCTAAAAAGATGGATCTTTTTAGTTGTCTCTGCACATTGGGATGGTGGGATTTTCTGTTTCTCCCAGCAGTTCTCCTTTCTATGCAAGATGGATACTATGCCCTCAGCATTTGCCATAGGCGTGGATGATATTGATCAAACTGTGTCCCATCCCATTATTGGAGAGTTCACTGCTCTTTGTAGGTTAGCAGCTGTGAGGA